TTTTTCTTGATCTTCTTTTTCATTTCTTCAGTGACTCATTAGTCATTCAGTAGCATGTTATTTAACTTCATGGCATTGTAAATTTCTCTTTTCTCTTCCTGTTGTTGACTTTGTAGTGTGGCTTTTCATTTAAGGGGATGTATTGTAACTGTGTAGTGGAGACTGTCATATCCAGATGTGATGATACAATGCAGTATGCATCTCTGCTTCCAGGCAAAGATGGATTCCGAATGAAATTGTTTACTATATCTTGACAATAGGATGCTGGACTCTGCCAGTGTCTATGCCTGCAATGATGGACATATGACTGTGTATGAAGAACTATACTATAGTAATGATATAGGGGAACTAAGTGAGGGGGAGGGAATTGGGGAGGGGATAAGGGAAATCCCAGGGTCTATGGAACTGTATTATAAAATGATAATAATAAAAAGAAGTAAAAAAAAAAAAAGAGTTGCCTCTAACATCATCTCTGACCTAAGCTAGAAATGAAGTCACTGGCCAGCCCTGACACGTGTCCCTGTGAGAGACGACAGTGCTGATGAGAAGAACAATGCCTACAACGGAAAGATCGGGAGTGGTGACTGTCTCACACACTCCACCTGTAAGGTTGGATGACGTCAGGAAAATCTACTAGCTCCCCATTGTCTTGGTTTGATAAGGCAAATTCTGCCCATGCACTGTGCCCAAGGCCAGGTCCATCTCTGTGTGATACTGTGTGCTGTGCCAGGCACTGTCAATGCACTGGACTCCTTTAAATGGCTGGAGGTCCAGCTGTGCTTCCTGGTGGAGAGCCCAGGGCAGAGGGTCTATTTCCCACAGTGCCCTCATTCTCTCCTGCCTGGCTCACTTGGTTGCTGTCTTGGAGCCAGCAAGACAGAGTGGGGTGAGTAGAATGTGTAGCTCCCAGAGAAAGCTGTGGGCCAAGAGCAAGTTTTCCATCAGGAAGGCAGGTGATGGAAACACTCCTAATACAGAGTGGGGCTGATAGAAACTGTGCAACAGGCAAGGAGTCTTCATTTTAATGAGAAGAAACATGGCCAAAAAGACATGGAGTCTCCACTTCAATGAGAGTAACCACAGCAGCTTCAAGTTGCCACAGGAAAGTGGAAGGTGAACGAGGAAATACTTGGAGCAGACTTGGGCTGCTCAGAGGGCAGAGGCAGAAATGCCAGGTGCTGCTAACATGCTGGCTTCACATTTGTCGGTGAGGCGAAGATGGCTGTCACTGGTGCATCACAGAGATGAGGAATTCAGGAAATGGAAAGCTAAGGCCCAGTGTGCACGCATACAAGCGGAGGTCTAGGAGTCATCACCTCACAGTGCTGTGGGTACCTGGAAGTCACGATCCCATGGCCGAGGCACCTGCTTACAGTCTTGGGTCCAGCAAGTTCTCCTGGACCCTGGGAGTAAGGCGCAGCTGTCTATGCAAAGCTACAGGTTTGCACTACAGAGCTGCTGAATAAGAAACGTTTGCAAAGGGAAGAAATCAGACATGTGGCCTCTTGGGAAGAACAGAGAGTAACAGAGATGCCAAACAGACTCATCCTGCTTGAGTTCTTCACAACAGGGTGAGGTTAAGACACAGAACTCAGAGAACAACCTTGTGGGGTTTGTGCAGCAGCGAGATCTGCAAAAACTCTAGAGCAATGAAGCATAAAGGACACACATTGGATGAGACAGAAATGCATCGACTCTGAGCTGGTTACCTCTCAGGCAGATGTGCCTCAGAACACCACGGGTAACCTGTACAATGTACAACTTTATGAGTCAATGAAAACACGTAGTGAACTGTGAGTGTTGCTCCCGTAGCTTAGGTTGTTTTCCACATGTGTTAGGTGGTTAGCTGTGCCCTTTATCCAGCTGATCATAATGCACTTTTATTTTTTATATTTTATTGATTTGTTTGAAGGGAATAACAGAGTTGAACATGGTGGGAAGGATCAAAGATAAGGGAAAAGTGGGTGAAATCATTGCCTTCTAATTCTCCATCTCTTCTTGTCTCTGAGGGAAGGGAGGAGACAAAAGGAGAAGCCACACCTGGCCTCTGAAATGTCCCAACACCCAGGGGTGCAGCACTGCCACCAAATATCAGTCTAGGTCCCACTATAGTGCATGTTCTGAGGGTTCTGATCAAGTGGTCTGGGTAGATCTGCAATGCTGTCACTTCACCAATCCAAGGGTAATGCGGTTCTCCCAGTGCCCCATTAGCTGGGCTAGGTTTTGCAGTCCACCTCAAGTCTCCAGTCTCCCAGATTTGTGCTATCATCCTCTGCAGGGGTAGTTGTCCAATATGCGCTGCTATATTCTCCATGTGCATCAGGGACTGCATCCACAGCTGTGCCTTTTTAACTCACAGGCAGGACCAAGGACCAAGGCCAGGCGACCTTAACCCCACTGGATCTCCCACCCCTGGGGCTCATGAACCCGATATCATCTGGTCCCTAGTTGGCATGGCTCACCTCACCTCAGTATGTACTGTCGTGTTGCCTCAATGTAAAGTGGCTGGTGTTGCGGCCTGACCTGGCCTCTCCTGCACCGTTTCCCTATCTTGGTTCTCTGCTATGCCAGTGGATATTATGAACTGGCCCAGGCAGGTCTGTCCTCAGACCTGACATCATGTATGCCAGCGGGCACTGTGACCTGGCATGGTCAGGACTGCTCCTTCCCTTGGTTCTTACGCTAATCTGCATGGGCTGCTTTTCTACAAAGCAGTTTCCCAGGCTCCTCTGCCTGGTCTCCTCTCAGAGGCAGGTCTTGTGCACACCAGTGGGTCCTTGGTCTAGGCTGCTTTGTGCACCTCTTGTGCTGGCATGAACAGTGGCCTTGCTCAAGCAGCCCACATCCATTCTGGTTCTTACTGTTGGGTGTTGCAGTCCAGCCACACCTAATCCATGCTCAGACACAGCTTTCACATGGTTCAGCAGGAGTCAAGACCTAGTCCAGCCCATTCTACACTCACCCTGGCACTCTTGAGTACCATTGGGTGCTAGAGTATAGTTGAGTTGCCACTCTCCAGACCCAGTAGACACCCAGGCTGAGGGATACTATAGCCATGTCCAGCCCAACTTATTTCCTTCAGTCCAGCTCTCATGCTCACTGTTGGGCAACCCAACCCAGCTGGGGTGTCGCCCTAGTTCCCCAGTCAGGCCTGTTCCCATCCAAAGTTCTTGGGCATGCCAGTGGAGATTGCAGTTTCACCTGACCCCACCATTCTTAATCTAACCAGTGGGAATGTGTCCACAAATCCCTCATGGAATATACCCCTGGACCTGGTTAGTGTCATGGCCCTGTCTAAAGAGACCCATCCCCAGTTCTGACACTCAGTCAGGTTCTGGTCTCTAGCCCTGCCAGACAGTGCTCTTTTGTGTGGACTGGCATGTGGTGGTCAGCAATGTTCCATGCTAACAAGCCCAACTCATGACTCCAATGTGAGCTGGTGCCTTTGTCTGACCCTTACAGATCTCCTGGTCTCTCCCTTCCACACCACCAGATCTCAGTCCCCTCGCTTACCTGCAAGTACAGTGACCCTGTTGTTCGGAGTCCCTCAGGAGTCATTTCTCACCTACATGAATGGTTGCCTCATCCTTGGGTGTCCCTAGTTAGTAATTTGTCACCCCAAAGTCCCCAGAGCTTGTCACTGGGCAGCTAGTGGGCTTCGCCTGGCGCCATTGGTGCACTGGCTGCCCTGGTGGCAGCTGGTACTTTAAATTTCCAGCTCTGGAGCCCATATATGGAGAAGGCAAGAATGCTCCCTCAGGAGTCGTCATTGTGATTCTCTCCTAAGGGAAAAGTGTGCATGATAACAAATTGTGCAGGACAAGTGAACATGGGTCTGAGCCACAAATGATGCATTTGGTTTTATTACTGATATAGTTTGTTGGCTGGCTCATTTAGAGTCTTGTAGAAGTTTTTATTGGTCATATAAAGTTTTATTCTAATGAAAGCACAAACATGTTTTTGCTTTGGCAACCATACATGATGTGAAGTGTAACTTTATTATGCTAAGGTATGGTATTTTTTGTTTGTTTGTTTCCTGATTGTGTTTTTCTCTGCATGGTGGAGACTGGAATCAGCTGTTTGCTGAAGACAATTTTATAGCTGCTGTGTTTGGCTTTTGCTCTACACAAAAGGGTAAGTTTCCTTTACTGATTGTCATTGCATGGTCAATTTTTATTTTTAATTTGGAAGACAGAGACAGAGATTGTGTGTCTGCTGGTTCATCTCCCAGTTCCTGATACAGCCAGGGCTGGGTCAAGGCAAAGCCAGGAGCCCAGAAGTCCACCTGGGCTTGTGTGTAGGGCTGGGACCACAACTCCTGAGCCATCGCCTTCACACAAAGCTCCCTTCATTATTTGTGTTTTCCATGTGTCTGCTGATTCATTTACAACATATGTATATCATGAATTCAGACAGGTTTAATATATAACTCTCAAAAGTACATAACATGTATAAATATATAACTCACGGTGTCTCCCTTTGAGGTGTTTTGTGATGAGATAGTTCAGGGAGTTACACATGATGAGACAATGTGAGGCAGTGCCCATCAAGTTCCCAGAGGTTGTGGGAAGGCACTGTGGGCTTTGACTGGAGGGGGAGCCCAGCGGGTGTGGAGGGGTCAGCCTCCCATTTGCCAGGAGGCTGTGCTGTTCAGTCACTTGATCGGAGAGGCAGGTTACTGTGAGTCTCTTTACCGGAATGGGGTAAATGTTAGGTGTCTTCAAGGCTCTTTGTAAGGCACTGGACTGCTGAGTGTCTTAACTGGAGCCCAGAATGTGAGTGTTGTGGTTGCTCAAGCCTTCCCCTTGGAGAGGAGCTGAGGATGAGCCTCTCCAGGGGCCTCACCAGCTGATTCACAGCAGTGTTAGTACTTGGCTCTTTAATTGCAGGGTGCTTGCTGCTTGCTCATCCACCAGACATAAGCTGGTTTGAAGAATTTCTTGTCTCCTGCCTGCTGGCTTGTCACTCAACCTGTCTGATTGATTGCTTCCTTCCTGCAGATACATCCTTGAGGAGCAAGAGATGGACACCCACAACGTCTCCTCGGTGACTCGGTTCATCCTCATGGGGCTCTCGGAGCTGCCCGAGGTGCGCTACCCTCTCTTCGTGCTCTTTGCCACCGTCTACCAGGTCACCTTGGTGGGAAACGGGGCCCTTCTGCTGGCCATCGGGACCGAGAAGAAGCTGCACACGCCCATGTACTTCTTCCTGGCAAACCTGTCCTTCATCGACATGCTCTGCCCTTCGACCACTGTGCCCAAGATGCTGCAGAATCTCCTGACACAGGAGAATGGCATTTCGCTCATTGGCTGTGCATTGCAGCTCTATTTCCTGGTGGCCCTGTTGGGGACGGAAGTCTTCCTGCTGGCTGCCATGGCCTATGACCGGTACGTGGCCATCTGCTTCCCTCTTCGTTACACCCTCATGGTGACCAGGGTTCGCTGTGTCCAGCTGGCGTCTGGGACGTGGGCAGCTGGCTTCCTTAATTCCTTCATCCACACCATGGCCACCTTCAGCCTGTCCTTCTGCAGGTCCAACCTGGTCAACCAGTACTACTGTGACATTCCACAGATTGTGGCTCTCTCCTGCTCGTCCACGTACCTGGCAGAGATGCTGGTCCTGGTGGTCGGAGGTATCTTTGGGGTTGGCGCTTTCCTCACCACCCTCATCTCCTACTTCTACATCGTCTCCTCCATCCTGAGGATCCAGTCGGTGGAAGGCAAGCGCAAAGCCTTCTCTACATGTGCCTCCCACCTCCTGGTGGTCTGCCTGTTCTATGGCACGGCCATATTTACCTATATCCGTCCATCCTCCAGCCAGCACTTGCCTGCCCGAGACAGGCTCATCTCTATGCTCAATGGGGTCTTCACTCCCATGCTGAACCCCATCATCTACAGCCTGAGGAACACGGAGGTGAAGGGAGCCCTCAGAAGGGTCCTGTGTCATGGAACATGGTCATAGCAGGCAGTAGGAATGTAGAGCAGCTCAACTTTGAAAACCAGTGTGTAGCAAGAATCCTGGGAGCCTGATTCTCTCCTGATATGCATGTGTCTACATGTTTTATACAGCCATCTACATCACTCCATACCACATCACTTTATTTTTCTTGGTTACATGCCTCATGTCTGTGCACTGATGTTATAGTTTATCTTGCAATGTAAAACTTTCTAAAGACTAGGAACCACATAGGGGATGCAGAAGCTAAATGGGACTGTGAACGGTGATGCCTAGAAGGGTTTTTTCTTGACGTTTCTGCTGCTCCCACTGGGCTGCTCCCACCCCTAGCCACCAGCCCTCTGGTGCCCCTCACCTCAGGCTGCATCTGCTCCCATTGTGCTTTGTCTGGAGGGCGTTTCCTCCCCCCGCACAGCTCTGCAGGTGCCTTCTGTGGCAGGGCCTGCCCTCTCTGTCCACAGCCGACCTGGGCACAAAGGCTTTGGGACCCAATGAGCCGAAAGTGGTCAGTTTTAATCTTTTTGTCCCAATAGTGTAAGTTGAGTCAACTGCGCTGTCTGTGATGTTGGCTCTTATTTTTGATCCTAATCTGATGCTCCTCACTGGGGCGAGTTGATGTGGATGGTGGCCTCTGTGAACTTCATCTCCCACCTTACTTGCTCCATCCTAAAGTGACTGCCTGCCCAGAGCCTGCTGCATCCTTCCCCAAACTTTACCACCAATTAAGTGTTTGTTTTTGCCTCAATTTTAGCAGAACTTAAGTGGCTGTGACAGGAGCTGCTTTTAAGCCAATGTCTTATCTGTCTTAGTACCTCAAACCAGATCCTGCTCATATGTGGTCTAACAAATCAGCACAAGTTAAATTTGCTTCAAAAGCATAATAAGGGTTTCCCTGAACTTCTGAAGGCCCTCCATGCCTTGCAGATGGCTTCTTCCAGATTGAACCCAACCCTGCTCAGACATGCTCTAACAGATTAGCAAGGCTTTCCCTGAGCTTCTGAAGGCCCTCCATGCCTTGCAGATGGCTTCTTCCAGTCTGGACAGCCTTTTCACTGAACCTGTCTCCCTTTAAAGCAGAAGTTGTTTCGTTTTTGTGGGTGTTTTAGTTGCCTACACTTTGGGATCAAACCTGAAAACCGTTTGCCAGAGGATGTCTTGCACTCTTCTTTCTCCAGTCTTACAACCCTGTGCACGACTGAGTCTCATTCATCCTGAGTGGCTGGGTCCAGGCGCATCTCTGCATGTGTGGACATGGCCTTGAGGTCTCACTTGTGGTCTGTCTGCAGGTCTGTCCCATTTATTCCTGAAGAGTGTGACTTTGTTGTTTTGGCTGGATGTTTGGGTACATTCATTTAGTCTGACACATAGCTCAGTGTTTCTTTGTTAATCTTCTCTCTGCAGGATCTGCTATTGAGACCTGCCTTTTCCCTGCTGCACTCAGCCCCTCTCCGCCCTTGTCTCTGTGTAGTGAGGTGCCCTGGGGGTGTTGGTCTGCAATTGTTACAGTCCTTGATGAATTCACAACTTTTCTGCTGTAGAATGTGTTACTCTCTCTGAGGTTTTTGACTTATGGTCTATTTTAGTGTAAATAAATGTAGCTACGTGTATTCTCTTGATTTTCTTCTGTGCAGAATAACCTTTTACACTCCTTCACCTTCAGTCATGTGGCTCCTCCAAATTAAAGTGAATCATTTGCAGGCAGCATAGTTTGTTATTGTATTCCACGCAGTCATACTGTTTCTTTGAAAAGAATTCAATCAATTTATATCCAGAATAATTATTAGCAGGTAATACTTTATAATGTCATTTGGTTTTTGGATGATTTTTTTTCTTCCTCCCTTGCTGTCTAGGTGATTTGAGTTTTTCTATTGTCATATACTTTGATTTATTTCTGTTTTTAAAATGTATTTAATCATAGAATTTTGCTTCATGGTGTAACGAAGCTTTAGTGCATTTAAAATGACTTATTTCTATTCAAAGAACAGATTATAAGGAGAAGGAGGGAGGAAGGGAGAGAGAGAGAGAGAGAGAGAGAGAGATCTACCACTGACTCACTTCCCAAGTGGCTGCAACAGCTGGAGCTGAGCTAATCTGAAGCCAGAAAGCTAAGAGGTTCTTCTGGGTCTTTCATGTGAGTTCAGGATCCCAAGGCTTTGGGCCATCCTCTACTGCTTTCTCAGGTCACAAGCAGAAGTGGAACAGTGGGACATGAGCCAGCAGCCAAATGGAATGCAGGTGGAAGCTTAGCTTGCTATGCCATGCATCAGCCCCCATAAGGAAGCTTTACATTCATTCCTTTCCCTGTGAAATTTGCATGGCTTAGTCTGTGAAGTAAACTGACAAGTGGTGAGTTAAAATGGTATCCTTACGTGCCCTCCCACAGAGCCTGAGGATCTGAGGAGGCTGGGCAGCTTTCTACACGGAGCTGGGCAAAAGCACACCAGTCTGGGCTCCCGGGGAGAAGGGAGGAGCCAAAGGCCATGGCAGGTTCAGTGGAGGGAGCCTTGCCATGCAGGCAGCACCTCCTGGGATCAGCTACTAGGGTAATTAATCTGCCTTGGCCAGCATCCGATGGATCTGTGGCTTGACACAGGGCACTTATCCCGTTGTGTCTGTGCCCGGGAGTCACTCTAGGCCAGGGGTGATGGAGGCAGTTGCAGCACTGGAGCTGCAGTGTGTGTGTTGGGGGGCTGGGAGGTGTACCCAAAGGCACAGCTGAATTGGACATGAAAAGCTAGTCTCGATGTTCCAGACTGTGTGGGGGAGCATCACTCGGAGCCGTGCTCTTATGGAATCTGTGAGATCCACACCCTCTTCACGCTGACATTTACACCACAGCTCCTGCGGGCATCCATGGCACCCACACAGCTCAGCACAGCTCAGCCCAGCCCTTGCCCCTCCCAGCTGGAGGCAGGTCTGCCAGGGGTCTCTGTGCAGGAAGAAGTCTAGATGGACAACATTTTTCTGAGAGTCTACCAGGGCTCACTGTGCAGCCTGTGTTGGTCCACTTGCCACATGCATCATGATTTAGACTTGTTTATTTGAGAAACAGTCAATTACCAACTCCTGGTTAACTCCCCAAATGCCAGTGGCAGGCTGGGGACCAGGGACTAATGCAGGCTTCTTGGGCTGTGTAGGGGCTGGGGCCTCCAGGGGTCTGAGTTAGCAGGAAGATGCAGTCAGGAGTGGAGCTGGGCACAGAACCGAGCTGCCCGATGGGATGGAGGTGTCCTTGCTGCAGCGTCAGAGTGCAGCTCCTAGATTCTGGTGAGAATGTCAACCAAAGATGCCTGTGGGGGAGAAAAGGCCACTGAGAGAGGCTGGGGGCCACTCCGGGTAGGTGTGGGTGTACATAGGGCCGGAGTGCTCACCTGTAAGTCGTGTTTGAAGTCAGGGCAACCCCAGGCAGAAATCCAGCTGGTGGCTCAGACCAGAGTGAGGATTTACAAGAAGCAGAAGGTCTGGACCCGGCGGGCGTGTGGGGAAGGGCCAGGCCTGTGGACAGACACCCCTGATGGTTGTAGACATGGCTAGGGGCACTGCACAAGTGCGCAGGAGGACACGTTGGCGTGAGGTCAGCAACATGGGCATGTGAGGTACTGGTCACAGCACTGACCTCGGTGAAAGAGGGTTTCCTGCCTGTGAGCCCCAGGGCAGTGCTGGTCCTTCCTTCCACACACAGTAACAGCTGCAGAGGCATGGAACAGGAGACACTGAGCCTGTGTGTGTGCATGAAAAACATATGAAACAAAATATTGATACTGAGTAGCCCTTCAGGGTGGCCTGGAGGTGCTGGGGGGTCTCTACATTGGAATCTCCTAAGTCTGGCTCCCTGCCCTTGTGGGGAGACATGGAGTGGGGGAGACACAGAGAGGTGGGGGAGAGAGAGAGAGAGAGAGAGAGAGAGAGAGAGCACAACGGAGGGAGAGATGCAGAGGGAAACAGAGAGAGGCGGGATAGATGGGTGGGGGAGAGAGAGGGGCAGAAATAAACAGCAAATGTGAAGCTTGGGCTGTCCTTTACACTGCAGGGCTGGGGGTAACTGAATATTCCAAGAGGGTGAAGTTGGGGTGGGGCTCAGGGCCTCCCATTTCCCTGGCCTTTCCTACAGGCACGGTCAGTGTCAAGGTGCAGCTATATGATGCCCGCTGTGATGACACACTGACACGTGGGCTGCTGCCCGCAGCTGTAGTGGGTATTTCCAGTTGGAACTTAAGCTCTGCTACTTCACACAGTAAACCCTGAAAAAGGTTTTAGGAAATCAGGAATAAAAACAACCAGATATTAAAACATGAGAAAGTATTTTAAAATTTATTCAGGACCTTCATAATAAAAACAGTAGAAGCACACAGACATTTTGCAGAGGGAAAGCGATGTCTGTGAAAGTGCCAAGCTGCAGTTTCTCAGAAGGAAATTCCATTAATAAACAATGCTTACAAGTGTGCGTGCGTCTACTGCTCTCACTTGGGGACACAGTGTGCACTTGCGCTGCGCAAACAGATGCCTGGGTAGCCAACATGGTCGAGCTCCCGACACGAGAACAGTAGCAGCTTCTCTTCTGCATAGCTGTGTGTCTGGAAGTCGACTGATGATGAGAAATGTGACATCCTCTCAGCACAAACGGAAGCCAGATGGAAATGAGGGCTGCAGGAAGGCGCCTGCTTAGAGGCCCTGCGTGAAACTCTGGGAGGGGATGCTGTGGGCTGGGGCTGTGACAAAGACATAGGCATGCCTAATGCCTTCCTGTGCAGAGCGGATGCACGTCAGAATTCAGTGTGTGTTGCAGCCAGGCAGCAATGGCCACCTGGGAGTTCTGGTGTGCTTGTTGCTAGGGAAATATGAGGGAAGAGTGACAGGTGAGACATGGAGCACCCTCGAGTTGCATTATGCAATTGAAACAGGTTTCCTAGCAGGGTCTGTCTGTTGGTGGTCTGTTTTGCTGCTTCTGCTCTGAGTCCCATGTAGACAAGACAGACAAGCAGCCATGGGCACGGGATAGAGAAACA